AAACCTTACGGATGAGCGGGAGTGGAAACAACATCGAAATTCACCAACTTTGTCATTTCCGTCACAACTGGACAGCCTGCGGTAATTTGGGCATATCTCCATCCTTTCTTCACGGAATGGTAAACCGTTTGATTCTATGGATTCCTAAGATGTAAGGCTACAACTTTCGTATAGAAAGTATTTCGTTTTAACATATGTAAGATAGCGTAAATCGGACCTGAAGTCAAGGGATAGTTGCTGTCCAGAATTTCGGGTATGTCGATGAACATGATTCCGACGATTAACTCACTAACTTCAACGTTCCAACGCCGAACTTTCTCTACGATACCTTCCGGATGTTCCTAACAATTGTTAAAAATTTTATGGTAAGTATTTGGAATGAAACAACATGAATATGGTGAGGAAACATAGCCAGCCCGAGGAGCTCGCCACCACTGGCGCAGTCCCGGTATTTTGGCCATATCTTCTTCGTTACTTAACGAAATCGCGAGCTGTTTGTTGGGCTGGATTCGTATCGTCCGGGGCTACAACCTTTGCTCAGAAAGTATTTCGAGATAATAGATGGAAAATTTCAGTTTTTACCTCAAAGTGGCTGCTGCGTTTTTGAGCTAAACATTTGGAAACTTTGGATGGTTTCTTGCTTGCTTCTCCTTCCTTGGCACAACAATGGAGATAAAATTTTCTTTCCCCTTTCTTGATGCTTGGCCGACAGAGAGAGAATGGGAGGAGAGAGGAGTGTTGTGTGTGTGGATGATAAGAGATGATGATGATGGTGATATAGTATAGCTTTTCTTTGTTTATTATATTTTTCTTTTGATTTTTAGTGTAGGATGGGAAATTTGGGGTGACTTTGTGAAGATTGAGGTGGCTAGTGGAGATCATGGGCTGAATACGTGATTGAGTAGGGATTTTTAAATATTTTCTTACTCCGTAACTGTTAAACTGAGTAAAACGGTACGAACTTTTTCGCCCAAATTGCTCCGAATTGAAAACGGATTATGTTTTTTGAGTCAGACTGTCAAAACTAGAATTTTGACGTAATCAAAATATTTTTATAAGAACTTTTATTTTTTTTTCTGTGTTCGGGTCTGTCTCAGTCATAAATTAATTTAATAATATAAATGATATAAAAATATATCAATTTAATCCAAATGATAAATATGGTGTTGTCAAGTGTCAAAAATTAAGATTTCTAATCTTATGAAATCTCTTTTGAATTGAGTTTATTTTATGGGTCAAAGTTACAAATTTTAATATTTAAAATCGTCATAGCTTGAAATCTATAAATCAGATTGGTTCATAAAATGTACCGTTGGATTTGTCTCTTTGAGACATATCCATAAAAATAAGATTTTAACAAAAAGTTATTATTTTTAAAATCCATTTATTTTTAGTCAAACGTACAAATATTCCTTATTGGATAAAAACTACTTTTGTTTTATAATAAATTTTAGGCCATATTTTGTGGCGTTACATTTCTTTCCCCCTTAAAGAAATTTCGTCCCCGAAATTTCCATAGGTGAAGTCATTTAAAATAATGATTTATAAAATCATGAATATCCATTGTTTTTATAAAACACAAATTTTGAAAAGTTGTTTCCTCTTTCTTTTGTTGTATGTTATGATTATGACATGTTCTCTTACGAGAAAAGATATACGCGGATGCTAGATGTAACGTGTTTGAATTTCTTTCATGAAGACTTGCGTCGAATATATACTTTTAGACTTGCTATTGACGCGTTGTAGGAGTTTTCCAAGAATTCTTGTATAGATTGCGTTTCTTGAATGTGGGGTAATTTACAAAATTTCGGGTTCTAAAATTCTTTGAGAATCATTCTCAAACGACTTTGTCTGGAATGTTGGTTTCACAAATTACGCTTCGTTGTGTACAATCTGAAACGAATTGTTTTCAGATTTGATGTTTTTACCTAACGGTATTTTGGGGAATGACTATTACCATAGTCATCATTCTAGGTTTTCTAGATGAATACGTAATTATAGTTTCAAAACTCGAACTCTCATTAGCGATGCGTAATAGAGTTGTTTTGACTAACATAATGTCAATAAGCTGATTAAAGCTTGTTTGTAATAGTTAACACATATATCACACTTATGTATAATAATGATATACGTTTTTTTATCACATTGTAATGATTGGATGAACTTTTTGATAACATTTGTCAGTTTGTCACTGTTTGTATTATCAAGATGATATGTAATCATTCTTGAATACTGATTTTCTAATTGATGATTCCAGAACTACTTTGGAATTTCAGACTTTCACGATAATTATGATAGAGCTTCGTGCTCGAAAATTATAATATTAGTGTATTCATCATATCACTAATATTCTACTTCACACAACAGTTATGTTATTTATTACCAAAAACATGATAAGTTATACACATAGTCTTGTGCTAATATGTTTGGGATTCTACAGACACATTTGTGATTTTTGAAGATTGGCATCATAGAACATTTTTTTATGTTTGATGGAGAATTATGAGTTAAAACAAGTTCTTAATGATTTGTTTTTTTTTAAAAAAAAAAATTATCTTTTCAAAATTGATCAAATGAGATGCTTCAAGTGGTTTAGTCTCCGAGTTGTACCTTTTCATTGGTGGGACCTTACATCCAAATGGATAGCGGATGGCCATAACCCTTCACGAAAAGGGGGTTTCCTTTGGTAAACCCAACTTACGGCCCTTCGGGGCATCAACCTTCAATTGTAACTTTTAAGTTTCTTGCGAAGATCCCGCTTCTCATTTGAGCATTCCTCACGGCCTCCATTGGGATGCTCTAATCCTCATGCTTGACGGGCTTTTTGCGCCTCGTAACCTCTCCAACAGGCGCCGTTATCCCACCTAAAGGATCCGGCCCTCCTCTAAGCATCCCGGTTGTGAATCGGGATGTCCGACAGGTTTTTTCCCCGCCTCTCCTTGGCCTTTGCCCTTTTGTCGTCTATATAGCCTTCTGCCTACCCTATTTCCTCGGTCTAGAACATCTACACCAAGCGGGTGATTCAAGTTTTGGGACAGAGGAAGCAGGGATACAGTAGCCTGGTCCCCATCTTAGACAGAACGCTCTCGAGCCCACAGAGCGCGCTCCATCCTAACCCGCTCGTTGTACTACCGTATTTGTTTGTTTTCCAATTCAATTTTGTCACACCTTCAAATGTACTCCAAATGTTCCTTCTGTACCTGGTCATGTAAGATGAATCCGGAAGTTGATCCAACCTGCCAACATGTTGGTCAAGAGTAATGCAATGTTCATAATCATCTCCATCAACGCGGGCTATAGCGCCAAATCTCTCCCTTTTGCGAATATCTTATATAATGATAAATTAGTTTAAAAAATTATACATATGATGCTTACAATGTTAAAAAATAATAAGATTATTATAATAATTTTAACTTCAAAGTTATATCCATTCAGATAAAAATAAATTTATTCACGTCAGATCAGATCCTATAGATTAGATTAGACCTAATCAGTGATCATATTTAATCCATAATCATATTAGATCAGATTCGATGAGACCATATGAGAATTAATAAGATAACAAGAACGGAATGCAACCTAGAAATTTATGAAATAATGTAAGGCGATATAATTTCAAGAGAATTTACAATTAGGTGAAATTCTTATAGTTTTTATAAGAAACAAATATATGTGAAGTTCTAGAGAAGAAAAAAAGAAAAATAAAACTCTTGAATATACAATTTTTAAACAAAAAAACTAAGAGTAAATTCTCAAAATAGTCCTTTGTAATAAAGTGTTTTCCCAAATCAGTCCTCAATAAGTTTTAATTACCTACGTGGTCCTCTATAATTGAGATTTATTTCCAAGATGGTCCTTCGTAAATAATGTTACTCAAATGAGAATTATTTGAGGGTATTTTGATATTTTTTATCCGCTAAATTTAGAATTAATTCTTAAAATGATCATTTATAAAGAAGCGCTTTCCCAAAATGGTTTTTTTCTAATTAAAATTATGTATTTGATTTGAAATTTAAAAGGTTTTTTTATAAGTTTTAAATAATTAATGAATTATTTATAATCAATATATTTTTTCAATTTTACATTTAGTTGTACAGAAATAACTGTTTCGAAAATATTTTTTAAATTTGGATGATCAAAATACCAAAATATCTCCTAATTAATCATCATTTGAGTAACATTATTTATGACAGACTATCTTGAAAATAAATCTCAATTAAGGACCATGTAGGTAATTAAAATTTATTGATGATTGAATTGAAAAAACACCTTATTACAAAGAACCATTTTGAGAATTTACTCAAAAACTAATTTCTAGTTTCTTACTACATATTCATTCAGAAAAAATATTTATACCAAAATTCTTTTCAAATAATGCACAAGTGTTGGGTCACGCCGATAAACAATGAAATGATGCCCGAGTAAGATTCCATCATGGCATTATTAATCAGTGTCTTATCAAGCCTTTTCCACACCCTTCCCCTGCTATACGAATGCCACTCCAAGTGGAAGAACTTCCCCTCATAGCGAGGAGTTGAGAGCGAGCAAACTTCCATTTGTTCAATTTCTTTTAGGGTCTGTTTGGTATACGCAATTGATGAAATTGGAATTGAAATTCCATAGGATTCAATTTTAAAGAATTGAATTCACCAACTCCAATTTATTTTTTGCACTTTCAATTCCAAATCCACATGATTTTTATGCTACTGAACACCAAAATTAGAATTAAGGTTCTCAATTCCAATTTCATAGTTTGAATTACGTGTACCAAGCGGGGCCTTACGTAATCAAAATGGTGCTTATGCAGTCCCTGAGTCCCTTTGCTCCAAAGTCCAAACAATGCTTGCATTTAGTCCATTTAACTTTGATAAAAGAAGCAGAGACGTCAAAAAGTAGATGCAAACAACTACAATAAAATCTAGCATAGCAGAGTAAACGTTAATGTTGTTGTTCAATCATCCAAAACATACAAAGATTCAAACATACAATAGATAAATAGGTAACACCACACTACAGAGAAGACCATGCAACTAATAACCTCATTGCTAAAATCACTTGTTTACAACAAAAACGGTTAGATAGCTCAGAAGAAAGCTCCGCTTCCATAAAACACCCGTGAGCCTGAACTCTTGGGTGTTTCCAATTTCTCTGAACTTGAGTTGCCAGAACTGGTTGTTGGTCCACCATCACTGTCCAACGGAAGCTTCATCTTCGCCAAGGACTCAGTAAATTGCTGCATGCTTTTCATGTACATATCAACAATGTCCTGTTGAACAACCTGTACCTCTGACTCAATGTTTACTGTGACAACTGGCTTGGGAAATGTATCGGGATGAAGGTTTTCAGATGCATTGCATCCAGTATCCTCGTAGACATCTGATTTCTTCTCTACAGTGGTGTATTCCTCAGTGGGCTGAATAGACTCTTCATTTAGAAACTTTGAACCTCCAGGTGTAGCACAAGAATGAGAACTTGCAGCTGGGAGTGAAGCGAATGGAGGGGACTCGTTAGTTGACAGATTGCTTGATGGAGAATCATGTTTTTCATGATGGTGGGAGTCCACAGTCCATGTAGGAAAGGTCTCACCAGCATTATCATCTAACTCTGAATTACACTGGTTCTTGGCGTCAGCAGAGAAGCTATCTGATCCATGAGATTCTAAATTATTGCTTTGAATGCTAAAATACTCAGAAACCATCAAATCATTTTCACTCACTACTTTAGGGTCGGGAAACTCAATTTTTTCCAACATGTTAGGTAAGGACTCGGGATGTGTATCCTGCAGAGCTTTATCAGCCATCCTAGATGTGGGTGGAACAGGAATGGGAATGACTTCTGGCCACTCGCCACTGTAAGAGAAGGAAAGCTTTACAAATCCTGCTGGTGAATGGAAGAGATCAGTTGATGAGAGAGGAAACTCTTGGTCTAACTTCCCATTATCAATGAAGACTTCAGATAGAGGAACTAATGCAAAGCCCAGCAATTGATCTTCCATATAATTCCTCACTCTGCTCATCATCCATATTTCACACTTGAGAGAACATTCAAGGGTATGGACATTGAGTCGAAGAACGTCATTGAAAACAGGACTCTGCCCACCACCGTTTATGATCTTTGTGGCAAGTGCATTTTCAGGATCGCTTGTCAGGCAAAGCTTGGCATAAACATCTTGCTTGTGATAAATGCAGATGTTATGGATATCCCTGGCTTGATGTACATAAACATCAAGGACACCAATGAAATTTGCTGTTCCATCCAGTCTTTGAACAGAAATTCCACTGGAGAGACCCCTGCTCTTCCTTGAGAATTCAATCTTCTTCTCAGGTTCAGGAATAAAACTGGACTCTTTGTATGGTGATATGATGGACTGAGGAGAACCCATGTTGATACACCAGAAAAACTTAACCTAGGATGTGGAAAAAAAACAAGGAAAACTAAGTTCAAAGGCTCTCCAAGATAAAGAGTAAGGCTCGTATCCAAATTGGGGGAATTCCCTGTTCTGCTTTTTTTCATGTTCATGGTAAAAGATCTATAACAACATTACAACAACAACAACAACCTTGATGAATCCCACCAAAGTAGGGTGTGTGGAGGGTGTGTGTAAGCAAACCTTTCCCTACTCGAAAGTAGGGAGGCTGTTTCCAGGAGCCTCAAGTAACACATGCAGCAAGTTGAGCACAAAAGGCATAACACAGAAAAGGAGTAGCCAAGAGCAAACTGATGTGTACGAAGGGAAAAGCAGCAAGCACAAAGCACCAAACAAAGAAAGCACATAACGACAAGTGCAAAAAAACTACCAAGCCAAGAAGCCTACCAACTACCTTAGTCCTCGCTCTCCGTACGCTCTATCTAAGGTCATATCTTCATTAAGGATAAGAAGTCTTAGGTCCTAACTAATCACCTCTTTAAAACCATCAAGGGCCAGGGAAGATATTTAATCTTTAAAACTAGTCATCGATAAGAACAATAGCACCGGACAGTGTCAGAATCAAACCTAAATTAAACAGCTTCCTGGAAGCATACTCAATGAAACCCTAATATTGGGTACAAGACAAAAAGTTATGAAAGCCCAAAGAACTGCTCTATCAATTCAATTCATGAATCCACTGGCTTGCATATCACCAACATAAATATATGATACGAATAACCACAGCCCACAGAATCATGGGACGAAATGTCAAAATCAAGTAAGATACTAAACAAACAGACAAAAACGAAACTTATTTCTAAAGCTAAGGCAACTTTAAGATCGCAACTGAGAAACAGCACTGTAACAAACAACTGAATACAACTTCATCAGATAAGATCACAAGAAGTCAAGCAAATAAAGTGGTAATGGAAATAGCTAAACAAGATATCGATAAAGATTCGACCATTTCCTCACGTGTTAGCAATAGAAGAAGATAAATAGAAACAGGGTACTCAGGTCTTTTACCTAGTTCCAATACAAAACGATATACGGAGTGCTCCGGTATTCAACAATTGAGCAGATACTGCTGAACTCTAGACCCAGTAAAATAAATACACCTCAAAATTCAAAAGCATAGTTTCTTGCCTTGAGCTCCGAAGTCAACTTGATTTTAGAAAAGCCGAGAAATTAGACGGTGGGGACCTTGGGGCGAAAGTTCTAGGTTTGCAGGAATAATAGCAGACTATTAGCAGTGGGATTGAAGGTTGTCAAACACCTGTGGGGACCTAGGTGCCTTCGGTTCAATTTATATTTATTACTGGTCGATCTTCCCGATTTGCAACGAATAAAAATTCTAAGTTTTTTCAATCTATTTTATTTAAATATTGGTATAGAAATAAAAAATAAAACATACATATTTAAAAACTACACCAAAAGTTCAACAAAACAAGTGGTGACAAGAATATTTTATTTTATCATATAGGCCATGAAAAAGCACAAATAAATATAAATTCTCGTGAAGTTGGAATAGTGTTCTGGGAAGATCATTATAAGACGGAGAGAGTACTACGTATTACTCCGTGTCTCCCTCCTCCCACAATTTCAGATGTCACTCTCATAACAAGGTGTAAATGTTTTTATTTTTAAAAATACTAGTAATTTAATTCGTGCCACGCATGGGATCAAACAAAATTTTTATTGATTATTTAACACTGTAGACATTAAAATCAAAGTAAAAAAAATAATTTGGAATTTAATAATTGGTTATAAAAATGCTTATATATGAATTTAAATACTCCCTCCGTCCCTGAGTGTTTGTCCACTTTCATTTTTGCACATCATCCAATGCACTTCTTTAATCCATTTTATCTTGTAATTTGTATATTAAAAAATTATAAAAATTATATATTAATAATCTATATGTTAAGACGAATCAAACAAGATCACACGTGACTATTTTTAGGCTTACACATTGAGAGAATTTGATAAGTCAAAGTGCTTAGATGAACAGTTTCAAAAGTCAAATGTGGACAAACACTCAGGGACGGACCAAGTAGTAAACACCTAAAAGCTAAGTCTTTTTAAAATTCATATTTTTTTGAAAGCTTTTGGGGAATATAACATTTTGGTGTGGTTGCAAGGATTTTCATTATTATTTAGAACTAATATTTTTAACCCTATCTTAGTTTTTTTACACGTGAAACAATGACATAAAGTTAACTAAGAGTGAACTTCAACCAAGTTAAAAATAATCTAACAAATGACAATATTTGACATTGATTTTTATTCATAGTCATAACAAAACATAAAACGTTCATCGTTTTATATCTTCCTTTGGTTATCATTCATTGTACCTCCGTTCTAAAACTATCTTCCATGTCTTCATTTTTAATTTCCTAAAACTACCTTCCCACATCCCAAAAATGGTGTAAAATGACTATACTACTCTTGCAACATCTACTCCCCAACCTTCCCACTCTATCGAAATTCTTTCTCACTCTTATTTTCGTCTCTCTTCCAATTCCCCTCCTCAAAACCTAGATCTGGTCTAGGTATCAGAGTTGCAACCATCGTTGTTCTTGAGATCGTCTCATCATCATCAGCTCCCCTCAAGACTTAGAACCTCGACATCTCAGAATCTCTACTCGGCATCTAGGGATTGGGGTTGTAGGAAGGATGCTGGTATGAGTAGTAAGGTCGCTCGTATGTGATTTGAAGTCTAAATAGCTTCATGAAATTGGAGATGATGATGATGAGCTTCATTAGCCGCAACCTTCAATCGAAAAGTGGCCTAGATACGTTTTTTCTTTAGTCGCCTAGAGTTTTTCTTCAATTGTTTTTAAATCAGAATTCAGTTCTTTTCGATTGGTTATTCAATTTGTTACTCATCATTATTGTCTTATTTGGTTAAATTTACGTGTTGCTTCATTAGCAGTTGCACTTTTCGATCAGGCCAAACATGTTAATTGGGCGTATGTCAGTCATTTGTCACCACCGAGAAGGCCGCCTGGCCACCGTTTACACTGCCCAATTCCTGGAAAAGACAGAAAAGTTTTATGTTTTTGGGTTTAGAGGGAGGGACATTTTTGGAAGTCAAAGGCATATTAATCAATCTCTTAAATGGATTTTAGTCAATCTAGTAAGTTAGATTTAGGACGGAGGGAGTATTTAAGAACATATGACAACTTTTGTTTGTCATAGTTTAACTCCTCTACCAAGATATTACTTTAAAATATATTAAGTGGATTGTCATCTCGAAATGACATATTGTAACACCTTAATCCGCCCAGGTTTGCAGCCCCTTTCAGACTAAAGTATAAACTTGGTAATCGTAAAATTTAAAACTTTTCAAACATATTTGTTTGTCACAATAATATTTTTCATAACATAAATGGTAAGGAGTTTTCAATATTGCGGATGCTTAACAAATCATAATCACAAAACATAATTTATTTATGTTCTTCAATTCAAAACCATCACATCCATTCCAACAATCTCACCTCCGTCTTCCTCAAAGATCACGTCACATCATTCTTTCTATTAACCTGGTGTAGCAAATAAAACATACTACATGTTAGCCTTGGTTTGCTAAGCCTCGTGTTTTGATGTTAACAAACAATATAAGAGCTTGACGTTTGTTTAAGTGTTTCAGGTACAACAAGAATCCATTAAGATCCGGTACTCAAGAATGAAGTTGAAACACCAAACTAGCGTAGAATATAGTCAGAAACCAATGTAAGAATATGATTTTATATACCTACATTCACAAGCTCAAAAGCACTCACAAAAAATGTTTTAAAACCATCCCATAAACATTTTCAAATATCTAAAAGGTTTTAAACTGAAACACGAACGATTAAGGAAAGTTTGGAAAAATCATAACAAAGCCACGGTACCCCTAGCGGTACCCAATACCGCCCAAACGGTAGGGTATACTGCCTACACGGTACCCCCATACCGTCCTATCTAGGTACCGCAAGAGCCGAATGGATTTTTTGTGTTACACGATACCGAGGTGTCGCCACTCACGGTACCACCCTACCATATGCACGGTACCATGTTACCATGTGGTCGGCACCGGCCTACCGTAACCGTTAGGTTACTGTTCCTGATTTGTGATTTTGAATTAAATCAACCCTAATCACCTCCCAACGGCTAATTAACATCTTTCACTATAAATACAAGCCTAATCATTCATATTTCTTCAAGAAACAAAGCTCTAAACATCCTCTCTTTTTATTCTAAGTGTTTTCATCCTTTTATTAATTATTTTTAATATTTTGGCTATTTTAAGAGCCTTAAATTCCTGATTTTTATACACACACTTTGAGCTTGTGTTTCTAGTTATATACTCTCATATTCATAAGTTTATATTGTATTTTTGAGAAAGTATAATTTCCTTCTACACCGGCTAAGTTTTGTTCTTTATTTTTATATTCTAGCCGTTGTGTAGAATCCTCTTTTGTGTTCTTCAAACACACCTTCTTACGGTCGAGAAAAGCCGTTAAATTCTTACGTTGTAAAGGTTCAAGGATAGCCTTTGAAATCCTTAGGGGAGCGGTAGAAGATAGCCGTTAAATCTTCATTGTAAACGGTTCGAGATAGCCGTAGTGAAATCTCGGAGTGAATCCTATTGGCAAGGGTTGTTTGCCAAACTAGTGCGGTGCTTTGACGGAGTTCAAGAGGCCGGAACTTAGTGGATTCGGAAATCCTTGAGGAGGAGCCTCGAGGTACTAGAGTAGGGTTTCCTGAACCAGTATAAAATCGGTGTGCATTTTATTTATGCTTTTATTTGTGCATTTTATATATTGCTTCTGTATTTGCCAACACCGTTTTTATCAAACTCTAAAAAGATTTCAAACGCCTTATTCACCCCCTCCCCCTCTAAGGCGTGGGCACAACGACTAAACCGACTAACATTACACGCTCAACGTTGAAGCTGAGTAAGCATATCTAATGCGTCGAAGACCCATATAAATTGAATCTCAATTCATTATCAAATAATTTGATATCATGCACTTAATATTCAATTCAAATATTCATCCTTCATGATTTTGACATTGTTCATTTATATCAATTCATATTATTCAATTCAGATATTGATTATTTTGGCAGTGCTCTTAAATTATTCTTAAGCTAAGGCCAATGATAATAAAAACGCTCTTAGTTAATCTTAGTCTAAAGCCAAATCATAACAATGCTCTTAACTATTCTTAGTCTAAGGCCAAATCCACATTTTCATAATCAGACTCTTAAAGAGTAATCAGTAACGAGATGCTTAAACAATGATTAGTTTAAGGCAATTGACAACCTGACGCTTAAACTATGAATAGTTTAATGCAACATATTTCTTGATGCTTAACTGTAGCCAATTAAGGCAATTAAATTCTAGACGCTTAATTGTAGTCAGTTAAGGCAATTCAATTCCTGATGCTTAAACCATAATTAGTTTAAGGCAATACATTTTCAGACACTTAACTGTAATTAGTTAAGGCAACAACATAATAGCGATTAATCATCGTCAGATCGGGGTATTCACAAACGAGTAATCCTCTAGTTTGGTCTATGAATCCCTTTTACATATTTTTATTCAAACCATCGAATATACATATTGTCATAAGTCCATTCTAATTTGAGGTCTATCCTAGAGGTTTTCTAGATAGCCTTAACATCAATTATCTAAATGGGTATATCTTAGATTTTTCTAGATATCCTTAACAATACACATCATTTTCTTATTCACCAATTTATTCATTTTGAATCATGGTTCATTAATTCATAATCATCATTTAATTTAAGATAGTCAAACAAACACATCTATTCATGATTTCATTCTTACGGTTTATTCATTCATGACCATACTTTATTATTTTGTCAGAATAAGATTGTTATCATTATGTAGTCATAATCACTCGGATTGTCCATTTGATCATTGTAATCAATATTTATTATCAATGACGTTTGATTATGGTTTATCCATTATAACAATCATTTAATCAGAATATTACTAAGGTGTGGTCATAATAAATATTCATTAATAGTCATAATAACATTCATTAACAATTAGCGGCCTAGCGTCGAGTGTTAACACCCTAGCTTACTATCATGCATCAAACAAAGCTTTTGAATTTGCAAAACATCATTTTGATTTCCAGAGATCATATTCATATTTATCATAATTGATTAGTATAAAAAATAAGATTTAATAGTTCAAAAATCGGGTTTTCTGAACAATAATCGAATAATATATGATAAGAAAATCCATTAATAGCTAGAG